AAAATCCTTATAAACAAAACTACTAGCCTTTTGAATTTTAACCATTCCAGTGTGTGTTTAATAGGATTTCATTGTTCAGCACACAGTGGCTTCCTTTTAAGTACCACTTGGGGGGCATAATGTTCTAAAAAACATGAAATGGGGCCAAGATCCTGGAGTGTTTTCAAGGTCCATAGGCATTCCAACAAAATGTTATATGGTTAAAACACTCTTAAAATCAGAGTCAGTCAGCATTAAAGCGCTCACACGTTGTTTTGCCTCCCCAAAGCAGAAACTTAAGGATTGAAGATGAATCCCAAGGAGGTAACTAGAGGCTGTCAGCCTACCCTGCACAGAAACTCTGACTTGTGCAGGAGTTATTTACTGAGTGTGAAAGCTAACCTTGGTTGTATACTTTTCTGGATCTGGAATCAACTAAAAGATACGCTGATAGGGCATGTGCAAAGAATTTTCTTTAAAGACCCACCCTAAATGCGAGGCAGCTCCGATTCTGGGAGACTGCCCAGAAGAAAAGAAAACTGGAATCAAAAAACTTTGCTTTTGCCGGCTTGTCTTCACTCTTACGGACATGTCTTCACTGATATTAGAGCAATGGTTCTCGACATTCCTAATAATGTGGCCCTTCAAGACAGTCCTCGTGTTGTGACTCTCAACCATAAAATAATTTCATTGCTGCTTCTTAACTATAATTTTGCTACTGTTATGGATCATAATGTAAATATCTGTGTTTTACTATGGTCTTAGTTGACCCCTGTGAAAAGGTAATTAGACCTCCAAAGGGGTGGAGACCCACAGGTTGAGGACTGCTGTATTAGAACCAGTGCCTTCAGGTTTCCAGTGTAGATTGACAACCAGCGGCTCAGTAGGAGTCCTCCAGGCCTTCAGCACCAGGATGGGACTGCTGAGACATCCAGCCCCATGACTTGAGCAACTACCAGAACCCTGGCTTCTCAAGTTTGAGATAGTTACACTACCTAGACCATACCATGGAAGCCAAGCTAATCAATCCCCCTTAAACGTATATCCATTTTATTGGTTCTGTTCCTCTGGAGACCACTGACTGCAACACCAAGCATGGTCAGGTACCACTACTGTTACAGCAGCCTCCACTTGTCATCAGTGACTTCTACACTGTCTCAGGAGCCATTGATTGGTGACTTGAACACTAGCTGGCATATTGTCTGTAGAGAGTGCAAAAGCCACCATGAGGCTGACTTCATAGCAAATCACGTCACTATCATAAGCATTACCATAGGTTTTCCTTTTTACTATCAAGATGACAACTTCTGTCCATGTAAAGTGAGTTTCATCAACAATATAAATGGTCTCCCTGCAGACTCTTTTTCTCTTTCATTTAGGAGATATACTGAGACAGCGATTACTATTTTATTTTGTATTGTTCAATCCATTCCTCATTAAAATATGGGCTAGGAGCCCCTCCTCTCCACCAATCAAGGCTTTCACAGATATAAGCAAGACATGGGTTTAAATCTATAGACACTTATTTTCATTTATATTTTCCCAGCACATGGCAAACATTCATAGTATCAGAAATACCTCACTCTGTAGTAAGACTGTGTGTTCTAGATGATATGTGAAATACTGATTGATGTATTTTTGTTTCCCTCCATAGTTTATTGCTTATCTATGAAATGTGTATCATAGCATTTCTATAGATAAAACTCAAACAAATACATGTAAATCTTTTAGAACATTGCCTAGCATATAGTGCCAGTAAACAGCATTTTATTATTCTTTCTGCAATAAATATATTCACTGTTCCCAGGTCTTCCATGACCATCACAAATTCTGACCAAAGTTCAAGACAAATATAGCCTAGGTGGAAATGTGTGTTTTAAATTCAAAATATTTCAATGTAAATTTGAGGGCTTTGCTGAAGATTTGATGCTGTTGGGCACCAATAATCTTCGACATTTTATGGATTTGGCCTATGATTCGACTTTACAACTGTCAATGTTGGGACTGTCACATAAATTTGTAATTAAAAAGGAGGATGGATGTTGTTGGAAATTTCAGAAATTGTTAGAAATTCTGTCCTAATCCCAAGATACTATCTACCTAATTATTTTTATAAAGCCCAAGTCTCATTCATATAGCAACTTTTAAAATTAAGCATTTGAATTCAACACAATCCACAGGCATACAAAATTAATTCCTGCTGAGGAACGACAGGAGGAAAATATTAAAAGTCTTCATTTTCCATAATAAAGTTATTGTGCTTCTATAAGAGCAGAACACCATGTATTTCCAGTAAAACCACTGCAATTCATTCAGATCAGCCACATGTCTGGGCCAAAGTGACTCAGGCAATATACCTGGCATGATGGCATGGGCAGTGTACATGCTGTTTACTCAGAAGCAAGACTGCAGAGAAGTTTCAGGATGCAGCATGGGAGAAACACCTGGGGGCTGCTAAATATTAGATTTGAATTTATGTTTTATATTCATGAATCCATTACAATTGCCAGATTTTTCACAACCCCAATATTCAGTTGTGGTAGCCACAGATTAGAAGCTGGAGTCTGGACAACCCTGCTCAATGCTTTCTTATATTATCCCAAATAACTGATCCCTTAGGTGTAAGAGGGAACAATTGAGAGAAAAACACATGAATCCAGGTAAGTGTGGTATAGAATGAGAGAACCAAGTAGATTCTTTGAGGGTAGAAGGAAGTTTATGTGGAAGAAAGGAAGCCTACAAAAGTGGACTTTCTGATAGGGACCTCTCTACACAGTTTACCTACGCAGGGTTATCTGAATTCATGAAGGACAAGAAGTTAGAGCATTCGAATGTGTCAGATACTGAGCCTCACGGGACTAATACTCACAGAGTGCTTGCTTGGCCTTGGGTGCCTGGCAACACTATTGCACAGATGGCTGCTTGGGGTAGAGATGAGCTTATGTCCGTCCATGGCAGCCTAGACTGATGCTCAGAAGACTTTACTTATTTCTTGTCTTCTTTCCCAAGGACAGGGAAATACATGTGACTTGGTCGGTAGAGGTGACAAAACACTAATAGCCGTAATCATGGGCTGCTCCCCAGTTAAGTAGAATGGAGTGATTGGGCCCAGGTCCATTAGGAGGTGTGGTGAGGTGACAATGTCCCTGGTTCAGGGATGATTTTAGACTTTAGCAGACAGGTTTGGCAGTCTGCTTATACAGGAAAGGGATGCCTAAGGTCACAATCTGCTTTCTCCAGATGCATATGTTTCCTTCAGCTTATCCCCTGATGAGACGCAGAAGTACCTGGGGAAACCATACACTGCTTTCGCACAAGCCTGAAATCATACAGAACAGCCTTGAATGACTCAGTTTACCTGGACCTGAACTTCCCTTTAGAACACATCAGAGTAGTGTCTGCCTCAGAAGACATCTCTGGTCTTGTGCGTTTCAGAAGACCTGTGACTATAGTAATTAAGAAATGGCTCTTTTAGAAAAGTTCTCAGAGACACATGTTAATCTCTCAAATACATCCCTTTTGCACCATCAGGCAAGTAGGGACTGTAATTAAAATAAGTAAACATACCCTGAACACATGGCTAAAAAGATTGTGTCAGGCATATTTTCAACTGTTTTCTAGGAGTAAACTCCTTCCTGATACACAGTCATGGTCTAGCCTTGTCTTCAAAGCTGAGATCCACATGGTTGGATATAATACGAGATTGTTCCATCAACATTTACTGTCAGTGAAGCTAGCTTATCTTGACCATAGGATAGCGGGGGGATGGATGACACCAGGAATAGCTGAGACCCATCTTAAGGAAGGTACTTCAAGGGGGTTTGAGGTAGGTACTTGGTAGAGTACCTCCTGCCAAGCTTGAGGACCTCAGCTAACGTCCCCAGTACTTAAGAAAGTACCCAGAAAAAAAGCCTGCCTTAGGGGTGGTGCTATAATCCTATAATCAGACAGTGGGTGCAGAGGTTGGAAGACCCTCGGAGCTCACTGGCCCATCAAATATCAGGTTCGGTGGGATAAATATTGTCCAAGTGTGAAAAATCAAATAAAAAATAGCAGTTCAAGGAAACCCTTATCTTACAAAAGTTATCTTCCCTTTGATTATGTAATCCCTTGTTTCACCTTCCAGGCAAGCATTTACCTTCTAAAGTGCTTTGGAAGACTTGTGGATTCAAATAGACAACCATTCAAATAAGCTATTGATTTGAAAACCTTCTTTATTTGTTTCTTGTATATAGCATATGCATATATGTGTGTATTTGTGTGTGTGTGTGTGTGTGTGTGTGTCCATGTAGGAGTGTGACTGTACTCCTGAAGTGGTGGTGTATGGGAGGAGGGGTTGTGATGTTAGATGTCTCCCGAGACCTACCCCTCCTCTTTTGAGACGGCGGTCATCCACACATCCAAACTGTCCAATGGTCGGCACTAGGTAGCTTTATTGAGATATAGAATCTTTCTACAGTCACATTTTACTTTTAGAATTTTGCCAAAATAAAACAAAACAAATAACAATAACATGAAATGATCATTCCTGGATGTATATTATACTATCTCCAAGAGGCCAGATTTCCCACCTTGAAAACAAACTCATGCCAAAAGAGCAGACATAGGGGACAGTTTCCAAAACCTATGCACAACATATTAGATAACCTAAAAATCCAATTTTGAAGAAAAAAATTCTATGTTTTAAAACATTTGTGATTTCTAATCAAACAACTAGAAATTTAGAAAAAAATACAGAGTAGCAAAGAGTTGTCTGTGCACACTCTCGTGGTAGCTAGGTTACCCTCGCTTCCATCACCTCACTGCTGTCACCGTGGGGACCTTTCGTGATTCATAATGTTTCCATACAGGTTTACCTCCTGCCTTCCAAAGAGGGGGAATAAAAGGAATGTTTTGTCGTTTGCGCAATTGCGTGTGTCTGCCAGTAGATGGCGCTAACATGTTGGGTGCTGCCAGCTTTTTTTTTTTTTTTTTTTTTCCTCTTCCAGGGACGTTTTCTGATATATGTTGGGTACCATAGAGTGAATCTCAGAACAGGAAGCGGAGGCATAAGCAGAGAGGATTCTGGAAAGGTCCCTTTGTTTTCATGTCCACAGAGAAAGCAAGAAAAAAAATTGAATTCAATTTGCAAATCCCTGTGGCCCAAATCTGAAGAACTGCAGGGGGTGGCACGTTCCATTCTAAACCATCTTGGATGCTGGCCTTTGTTGAGCTGTGATTCCTAAGGCTCTCCATCAGGTAAGCTGGCAAAACATTTAATTATTTGCACCGTAGAATCTAGCTGCCAGGTCATCTTTTCATTTTGAAATCCTCTTCATGCTGCCATATTTTAGCCTAATGTTTAAATGTAAATGATTAGGACTGAAGATATCATTTCATTTGTACAATGCTTACTATCCCTTTATCTTTCAAAGGAGACAGAGCTTCTGTCTGGAAATGGTGACTTACAATACAGTCTCAGGATTAAGGAGTGTGTGTGTTTGTGAAACGAGCAGATGTTTGGGGTTCATTGTATTGAGAGAACATCTGTTTTGTTAGACTTAATGCCAGGCAGCTGGGTTTCACGACTATACACCGCCTATTTAAGTGTTCAGCACGTCCGTCCAGCACCTTTAAACCATGAGTGTGTAGTGAAATAGGAACTATCTTTCCTGTGCTTTAGTTTTTTTATTCAACAGCTTTGGAGAGGCCATGTATGCAGGCAGTGACAACAATACAGAGGTGTTTGGCTGCTTAGACATTGTCATTTTTCTTCGAAATCTGGTAGCATAGAGGGAAGGGGATCACCAAGAGTAGCAATGATTCGCTCTAAATGAAATGACCCCAAGATTACTGTATGTTCCATAACCTTCTGTTTTAGTGTCTTTACCTGTCCCATAAGCTTGATAGATGGGTAGTTTTATTTTCTTCCTGGAACATTTCATGATTGGTTTCTTTTTTATTGTAAGTCCTATTACTACTAATCACCAGGAAAACCCATTTGAGGCCAAATGAGAATAATGTCCATTGTGTAGAGTCTGTGGTTGTTACTAAAATATTTCACACCATACTCATAGTGTTTCATTCAGTTAGCAATCACACCATTGCCACATTGCCAGAAACAATCCAGGCAATAGTTGAAAGACAAGTTTTAAGGTTAGAAAGCTTTACATATTCATGTACTAAGTGTATGTGTGTATGTCTACACACACAGAGTGGAATACAAGGTCCCTTGTGAGGACAAAGATGAAGGCATTAGTGTTTGTGAGAATCTGCATGGAAATATGTTATCCAACACATGCTGAACAATGTGTGCCCTGTAAGAAATAAAGACCTGTGATTTCAACCCAGGCTTTGGTCTGCACTAAACTAAGGCCTAAACAACAGACCTGGAGGTACCTGAAATAGATTTTCTCATCCTGTGGTGAACAAACCAAGGGATCTCAATCAGTAATTTAGCTTGAGTGGCAATCGTACTCCCCCTTAAAACATTGCAAAATAGTGTCTGCCTCCAAGGAAAGCCCTGGTCTTGTGTATTTCAGAACTCCAACTATAGGACATAAAGAAAAGTGTTCTCTTGGAAAGGGACTTCAGAAATCCAGGTTAATTGGCTCAGATGTATTATACAGTACACACCATGCCTTCCTGCAGGTGACTGCATGTGAGTAACTTGGTTCTTTGTAAATGCCTAAGCTGGTTGATTGGACTGGTTTATATTCATGAATGGGAGTTTATATTTGGACTGCGAATGTTGCCCTTTTCTGTTTTGTTTTTAAAGTGGCAATGGTTCTGTGGTTGTTCATTTAGCTTAGTTGCTCGCCTCCCTTAGTTACTCTCCTATACATATCGTTATAATGTGAGATGCTCACATGCACACATCTCTTCACCTTGCAAAACAGGTTCTTGGAGGTCTTCGGAAATGAAATATTTTGATTACATGCCATCTATGGCAAATTAGAGTATTTCATTCTTTACAGAAATGTAATGGTGATTTCAATTGTAAGATCCAGACACACATTCATTTTTTTCATGTAGTAGATTCAAGAATGTCTAACTCTGAGCTGGAAATGGGGGCATGGTTCAGGATCTACCACTTAAGAGCTCTATAGGCTCCAAAAGAACACCAGCTACTACAGAAGTGCATTTACTTGGGAAGTGGCGTCAAAGGCCAGTTGGAATTCATTCATACTTCTTCTTGGTGATTTGGGGGGATCTACATGGGGGCATCTCTGGCTCCCCCAACACATGCATGACAATAGTTCTCTAAGAATGAGTGTATAAAACCAGAGAGGTGGAGACATTTTTGTGTCCTTGGCCAGTTCCTTGTTTGGTAGAAACAGCAAAGGAGTAAATGGAGAAGTGGTGAAGAGCTTGGCAGGCAGAAACAGTTCTACTGTTTTCTAACAAAGTAACTCAACTTCTGGAGCCTGTATTACATTGTCAATAAGACAAGGATAAGCCTACTTAGAAAACCAAGGAAATGAAATAGATCCTGTTCAGAGCTTAGCACCGATGCAAGGATGTGATTGTCTCCTCTCTCATCTGCCACCCCAAGGCCCACAGAATGAAGCAGGTATCATTGCTATTATTAGTGCCAGTGATGAAATGCCTTCTACCACCACAGGAAGGGGGAGGGTGAAACCACAAGGAATTCTGTAGCTTAACTGTGAGTGACTGTCATCTCGGAAGAGGGCCTTGGCTGAACATCAGCAAGACAAATGTGTTACCCATGACATTGTCAGTCAGTGGGGACATGGCAGGCACTTTCTGGAGAATTCCTAGGACTTCTAGAAGATGATTCTTCCTGTCGCTTGATGTCATTATGGACTGCATTGTATTTGTTTGTTTCCTTTTATCTTTTTAGCAAAACCAAACCAAAGGACTTTATTTCTCCCTTTACCTGAATAGGACTTGCCTTTCAGAGAAAAGGCCTCTGGGAGGATTCAAACAAGCAATATCTGTGTTTCGTGAGAAATCACATTTTAAAAAATGAGTAATTTCAATGGTACTGTGATGATCATATTACAGCATCCAAACCTCAGAAATGTCCTAATGAGTCGCAAACTCTCTGGGCTTAAACCCTGCTATGGATACAGCTAAAGGTGGGAAGGAAAAATATGCCTGATGAGATTGATGACATGCTACGAGGGCCCTGCTTCTCCCCAGACTGTCCAAGCGCGGCTTGGTACTCCTGACAGCTGTGTGCTACAGGGATCTCTGGGAGCTAGAGCGGGGGGGGGGTGACCTTTCAGCACCTCAGGCCTCCTAATCCTTCAACCACCCTGGGCCTCTTTAAACTGACTCCAGTAACTGTGCTGTCAGCTCCATCTTCATGGCAGCCAGGATGACTTAATGGACTCAGGATAGCACAAAGCCAATGGCTCAGAGCAGGGAGGCTTAGCAACTGGAGGGTAAGATTTCTCAGCGGGACAAGCACTGAGCTTGCTGTTGCTAGTCAGTTCTCTTGGCTCCAGCTCCTTCCTAGCTCCTGCGAGTCTGTAATTGCAGGGTGAAGTTTATCTGAAGCCATCTGTAAATGCAAGTAAGTAATGATGTGTTTTTTTAAAACAAATGATCATAGGATGAGATAGTGGCATTTCTTCTTGGGATTAGCTGTGCACAGTGCTATTTCTTGTTAGATTTCATGCATGGAAACTTCGTGAACCTACTTTGTGACAGTGTCGCACTTGTCATGCAAAAACATATTCTTCATTTCCACAATGGTGTAATGGGATGTTCTGTTCGTTCTACAAAAGAGTGAGGGTCAATTGCCCATCTGCTCCTGGAATACAGTTTAAATTAGAAACAGTTCATTTCACTACTTTCAGGTTATTTTTTTATTAACGTCAATTTGAACTCGGTTTTTATACTCATTTGAATGTTGCCCCGTGGACACTTTTCACAGGCAACCAGTATGCAAGAAGGCATATGTATTCCTCCCTGTTTGTGTGCTCAGAAGCTTAGGAAAGGAAAATCCAGAACTGTTGTTACTGAATCTTGCTTGCTCCTCGGTTTGACTGGCAACTTCCATAGGTCACCTTTACCTCACAATATATTTCCCTTTGGGGTGAAGCTAGCACGTTCTTACGGTATACTTTAATATAACAAACAGTAACCACCAAGTTCAGGGCATACTAATACTAATTTTCACTTTGCTAACTGCACAAAGACAAAAATTCCCTTGCTCACAAGGCAGGCAAGTGCTTTGTTCTATGAACTGTCACATCTGCTCTGGCTCCCTGGGTCTCTGAAGTTTGAGTTTTTATCTGAATATGTGAGTTACCTCAGTAGAATTCTCTAAAACTGAATGTGAATACCTACTCAACTGGACAGGTAAGTTTCAATGTGCCAGTGACGGATAGGTTTTTTTTTTCCTTTTTTTTGGTTTTACGAGACAGGGTTTCTCTGTTTTGGAGGCTGTCGGTCCAGCCTGGCCTCGAACTCACAGAGATCCGCCTGCCTCTGCCTCCCGAGTGCTGGGATTAACCAACGCCCGGCTGATAGGTTATTTTTAAGGTCCTTGTCTCTTTCACTCTGGATTTGAAGTTGAAGAACTTTATAGAAAGAAAATTCTTCCGAATAAAGAACAAGTAGAAAGAAAATATTAAAATGAGTACAGATAAAAACATAGGTGTGACTGAATGTGAGAGTCTTCAAGAATTGCTAAAGTTCAAGAATCCCCTTAAAAGTCTCTTTTATTTTTATAATAATTGAATTAGACTTCCATCCTCTTTGAGATTATACACAGGAAACCCTCCATGTGATCGAGCTGTATGCTGGAACACAGTAAGAGAAATGATGGTCCCTACATTATTAAAGAGTGATTTAATATTGTTTTAGTCAGTGGGTGAATTCAAAAATGGGAAGTCACTCCTTAAATAACTTTGGCCATTTTCTGCCAGGAAGTTCCCTTTGGGGAATTTTAATCTCCTGGTAGTCAGAATATACTTTATTCTTGAGTTATGCAGAACATTTTGTACTTTTACTTTCCCAGGATTTTTGAGTTGGAGTAATTAATTAAATCGCAATTCTTGTTCCTAAATGGCATTGGGACTGCCATGTTTTTGCAAAAGGTTCAATGGTCCACATGCTGTGTCTGAGAACTGGTCACTTGTTTGTCAGGTGGGTTTTCTTTTTGTTTGTTTGTTTTACTTCTGGATGTCTGTGTGTGACATTTACTTTCACAAAATTTCTTCAGTCCAACTTAAGATATTTCAAAGTATTCTAGGGAACCATGGTGGGTATGACCTTAAAAAATG